ATTTGACACAAATTCCAAGGCTAATATCGCATCTGAAAATGATATCGATGAAATAATAATGAAACAATGAATCAAATGTGTTGTTGAATGGGTAGACAACGATGCGCACATCCAGCGAGCGTTACCCAAGGTATACTCTAAGACAGGTGTGAAACCCCCAGGGCATGTCGTTTCCTGCTCAGGCACTGCTAATCCCTATACACAGGAAATGATCGCAGCTAATACTTAATACACAAAGAAACAGAATTTGTCAAAGAAAACAAAAATATATGAATTTTTGCATTGAATATTTATTAATATAAACTATAATTTCGTCTGTGAAGTTTATCATTACACCTGCACATTCTATCTTATCTATTGAACACGAAAATCGAGAAATATTAAAATTAAAAAGAAAGACATTGTTTTAAAAAGTAATACATGTTAATATGAATGTGAAAAACGATATTTTTTCTTGATCTCTAAGACTTGTATAAAATTCACGTGCTCAAAGTTAACTCTCGCCATCGAATGTTTTTCGGTCATATGACAATTTGAGAAAAATGCCTGCACATTATATAAAAGATGGAAATAAATTAAAGAAAAGTTTTCTTAATTTGGGAACAGAACATAAACGATGAGAAATGAAGAAGAAAAGAACTTCTTTCTTGATATCTTGGATAAAGAAAATTTAAGTTCACGTGCCCTCTACATGTAACTGCAAATGCTCGTCCTCGGATGTTTTCCGGTAATTTGATACTTTAAGAAAAACCCTGAACATTTAATATACAATAAATCGAAATTAATAAATAAATAATATGAAGATGTACATTTTTAAAAAGATGTACATCTTTTTTTTCAAATGAATGCTGAAAATCGTTTATCGAAACTTAAACAGTCTGAGTTCAACATTTATTACAGTTTGCATATAATATGAAGATTTCAAAAAAAAAAAAAAAAAAAAAAAAAACTAATTAAAATTTCTAGTATTTAATTTTGTTTCTTGATAGATTCTAATAACACAAAATAATTAACCATTGCAAAGATGTAACAATTTAATAATATTTTCTATTCAATTTCAAATATTAATATGTAATTTTAGAAACAAAAGTAAACTTATTTTTTCTTAGTCTAAATCTATTCATAGCAAAATTAATTAATAAACACACGGTTTTTTGTTTTTGTTTGTTGGTTTTTTTTTTTTTGTTACAGGGAAAATTCGCAAATTACAATTAGGGGAGATAACTCCCGTTTGTTTACGATACTAATTGTCAGTAATTGATCGATGATTTAACCGCGGCGGGGACAGGTAAGTGATGAATTTCCCGCGGAGGGAACGCGGTTTACCTGTCTACCTGGCCAAATACCGCGTTGTGATTATACCGCGGCGGGGACGCGGGAAATACGGGATCCGCGTTGCCTGTACTGTATGCATGTAACACTAAAGCGGTAAAACGGTTATGATTTTTTAAACTTTTTTTCAATTTCCTGTTTATCCCTAAAGTGAACTATCCAAATAAGTTAATCGAAAATAGTTGAAACATTTCGCCGAAAAACATTGCTCGCCCTACGGCGGTCAAGGAATCAGATATCATTTATGCTCAATAACTTGAATCAGGTCTTTGAGACAAGAATGCTAAAATAAACTCCATGAAGCGATCTTTAGAAAAAAATTGTTTCTTATTTTTGTCTTATTTATTAGTTTAATATAACACAAATGTGCATAGGAAAAACAGTGGTTAAGATTTATACTTACAATATGAATTGATATTCTTTTTTGAGAAAGTATTACTTATAAGTATGATTTAAGATCTGTTTTTCCGTGGTGTACAAAAGATATTAGGTATCGAATTTCATTTGCACATTTAGTCTTCTCTTTTTCTATTTTGAGAACCAGCCAAAACCAATTATAGAAGACGTTAGTTTGACACAGAATTGCAACGTAAATACGACGTGACAATCCAAGTATTCCATTACATTTCATTTATCCTTATGTTACTTTCGTTCAAGCAAACGCTCAGCTGCATCCGTAAAACCCTATTGCGAAGTGTCCGCGTTGACAGAGACAGCCGCCATTTTGGACCCACTTCAGATGTTTGAATGCTAATATCTAGAGTATAGATTTATCAATATTCAAACAAATTATATAGTAAGCATAATAAGAAAGGTTTCTATTAATATACAAAAAATAAATAAAAAATATTGAAAAACAAAAAAGTTAGAAAAAATGCGATTTTTTTAATTTCATCTCTTAACGACCGGAAGTACTGATGACAAACGAAAAGGCGATTCTGCAAACCACAAAGTCATGATCTACAGTACAGGCAACGCGGATCCCGTATTTCCCGCGTCCCCGCCGCGGTATAATCACAACGCGGTATTTGGCCAGGTAGACAGGTAAACCGCGTTCCCTCCGCGGGAAATTCATCACTTACCTGTCCCCGCCGCGGTTTAATCATCGATCAATTACTGACAATTAGTATCGTAAACAAACGGGAGTTATCTCCCCCAATTCTAATTTGCGAATTTTCCCTGTAACAAAAAAAAAATACAAAACAAAAAAAACAACAAAATACGGTGTGTTTATTATTTAATTTTGCTATGAATAGAATTTAAACTAAGAAGAAATAAGTTTATTTTTGTTTCTAAAATTACATATCAATATTTGAAATTGAATAGAAAATTTTATTAAATTGTTACGTCTTTGCAATGGTTTATTATTTTGTGTTATTAACCCTTTGTGTGCGGGAACCCAATATATTGGGTCTGACGTCACAAACGCTACCGTGCGGGAACCCAATATATTGGGTCTGAGTGTGGAATTAGCGCTTCGTAACATAAAACGTTGTATAAAACATATAAATGAGTTGTGAATTACTATTAATCTATCAATATGCATTATAAAACTACAATATGTTGAAAAATAGGAAATTATGATATGAAAATATGCGAATTATTTGTGAAATTGTGATTTAAAGTGAAGGTGTTGGCGTTTGTTACGATGAAAGTCAGTCCGCTATATTTGGAAACGGGGAAAAACGCGCATGTAATAAATATCTACTAACTTGCTCTAATATAAAGGAAAATAAAGAAATGAATTCCAAAAATAGTTAAATATTAATAATTCTAATAAATTTGACCTAGTAGACATAAAATTACTCAGAAATTGTCGATATTTTAGCAGAAAAACTCTGGTTAACTTGACTTGACCTTAACCTTTCGAAGTTCTTCCTGTTAAAACGAAAGTAGGGTGCACATGCTACAGAAGTTCAGTCTGAAGAATATCGAGAGCTTTTATGGTCGGCAAAGTTTTATATTTTGGACATAATGTGGTTATTATTTGTTTATTTGGGGTTTTGTAAGTAGACATATATAACATCGTCTAAATGAAAACAATAATGCACGAGATTGAACCTGACAACCCACAGACGTTTTTATTTTCCTCAGTGACTGTGCACGTTGTTTACATACGTAAATTAAATGTGCTTTGAAATAAAGGTTTTCAAAAAAAAAAAAATTTGAAGCATCTTGTCAATTAAGAGTATTTGTTTTTTAACAATAAATAAACAAATAAATAAGTAAACAAATAATTTTTTTTAATCTAAAGACCCATTTAAAAAATGTTGAAAGATAAATAAAAGGTTTTACCTAATAAAAAAAAAAATAAATGTGGAGGACCTTGAACACTGTAGCAAATTTTCCGATGAGTGATTGCATTAATAAGGAAGTGCAAAAGAAATATATAGAGAATATATATCCATCAACATATTTTTGTGATCAAGCAAAATTAATTCATGATGCATGCAGGTATTTGAAATATACACAATATGAATTTTAAAAACTTACAATCATGGAGTGAATTAAATGGCCCTAATTACATCTTAAATTTCTGGTTTAAAGCTGCTTTTTTTCCATCTATTTGGGAAAACTTTCAAATATTTTTTTATAACAGTATATATGATATATTGTAAAATTTTTATTAAAAATTTAAAGAAATAATTAAACTTGATATTTTCTAGTGTCTTCAAATGTAAGCTAGTTCTCCACACTAAAAGTGAAGTTTACTTTAAAAAATCCAGAAAGTATTGAGAGGAAAAAAAACATAATGTATCAGAAAAAATGCATTGATGCATTTGAACATGCGCATATACAAATGGTAAAAAGTAATGAAAAAATTTTGAAGTGCTGATTTTCTCTGAAATGTGAAATGACTGTCATTTGTTTAAACTGTGGTATTTGTTTTATTTCAGTAAGTAATAAAAATACCATTTTTATTTCCTTGATGAGGATTTATAATATAGACTCTCAATAATTTCAAAACCAAAATATGTTCCGGGATCTTTGGTATCTTAGAGTTAGATTTCTTCAAGGCTTTTACATACTCTAGTTTGCATGAAACCTAATTACTAAGTGAAAATAATTGGTACGTGTATCAGAATTTTTTTTCTAAATCAAGTAGAAGTATAAGTTTAAGTATCAGGGAGACATTTTCTTTTTCTTTAAAATAGACTTTTGCTTGAATAAAGCATGTGGATTAAATTGCACATTTCCCCTACCTTTTATTTCTATTTTATTAAAACCAAAAACAGTGAGACTGCCCCAACCTATACATGCACACTCAAAATTATAAAATTCACTAGTTAAATAAATCTACAGTTTAAAATTAATGCCATGTTCACACGGAGAGTTTAATTCGAATTAAACATAAAGTTACTGCGAATTAGCTTCGCTTAGCGTTCACACGGAAAATTTAATGCGAATTAGTTTAATTCGAATTAGTTTACTGCGCATTAAATTACTTCGCATTAGCTCCGTGTTAACGCTAAGCGAAGCTAATTCAAATTAAATTTTGATGCATGCGTTAGGCAAAATTCAGTCAAATCACGTCATATCGGTGGTTATATAAGTACTTGTGCTATTTTGGTTAAAAAACTAGGAAAAAAGTATGTTAATCACTAAAATCAATGAATACCTGTAGCCACTGGCATTATGTCAAATGAATTTGCTTCATTTTTTCATGCACACTTACTTGGTAGTGACACAATGATGCAGATGACACTTTATACTTCACAATGACTGCACATGATCAAAATATACAATCTAACATCAAATCTCCCATTGCGATAAAGAGTAAATAACTGTCTTTTCCATTGATAAAGCCTGTGGATCTTGAGGCTTCCAAATCATTGCCATATATCACTTTTAACTGAAAGCTTACAAGTAAAAATGATGAATATAAAATAATTAAGAACATGATTTCTCCCTGTTCATGAGAGTGTATCATCAATTTTAATCATTTTCATGCAAATGTATCTGTTATGTTTGCACAACTTTATCAACTGATTAAGAAAATACATTCATTTTTATCTTTTTCAATAATTTACTTGTGCACATGTGCACAAGAACATATGGGTCTCAAATACTAAGCCCTACTTGATTGATCTGTATCATATTTCAAAAGGATTTCAAAAAAGATTTTCATGCACACTTACATATGCTTCTGAAACTGAGATATAGATGACATAAATATTCAATAATGACTTCATATCATCAAAATATATCTTCCATTTTAAAATGTCACATTGCGATTAAAAGTAAGTAGCTTCCTTTTCCCTTGATAAAGCTTTTAAATCTTTGAAATTCAAAATTACTCCCAAATCATATTTAAGCTGAATGCTTAGAAATGTTTTTAAAAAATGCACACCGGTATTTAAGATTCCTCCCTATTCATGAGAGTACATCATCACTCTCTGGTATTATTTCCCATAAATTAACATATCAAAAATTCCCTTATTGGCTTTTATTATAAAAAAAATCCATTTCATAGAATTTTTTTTTACTTTTGCATTATTTAATCAATTGATTTAGAAAATTTATTGAATTATGTCCAATATCAAACAACATTACATATACTCATGTGCACAAGGAATAGTTTATAGGAAAAAAACTAAGTCTAAATTGATAAATCATTCTATGTTCTTTTAGAATTTCAAGATAGTTTCATGAATTTTTTCATGCACACTTACTTGGTAGTGACACAATGATGCAGATGACACTTTATACTTCACAATGACTGCACATCATCAAAATATACAATCTAACATCAAATCTCCCATTGCGATAAAGAGTAAATAACTGTCTTTTCCATTGATAAAGCCTGTGGATCTTGAGGCTTCCAAATCATTGCCATATATCACTTTTAACTGAAAGCTTACAAGTAAAAATGATGAATATAAAATAATTAAGAACATGATTTCTCCCTGTTCATGAGAGTGTATCATCAATTTTAATCATTTTCATGCAAATGTATCTGTTATGTTTGCACAACTTTATCAACTGATTAAGAAAATACATTCATTTTTATCTTTTTCAATAATTTACTTGTGCACATGTGCACAAGAACATATGGGTCTCAAATACTAAGCCCTATTTGATTGATCTGTATCATATTTCAAAAGGATTTCAAAAAAGATTTTCATGCACACTTACATATGCTTCTGAAACTGAGATATAGATGACATAAATATTCAATAATGACTTCATATCATCAAAATATATCTTCCATTTTAAAATGTCACATTGCGATTAAAAGTAAGTAGCTTCCTTTTCCCTTGATAAAGCTTTTAAATCTTTGAAATTCAAAATTTCTCCCAAATCATATTTAAGCTGAATGCTTAGAAATGTTTTTAAAAAATGCACACCGGTATTTAAGATTCCTCCCTATTCATGAGAGTACATCATCACTCTCTGGTATTATTTCCCATAAATTAACAAATCAAAAATTCCCTTATTAGCTTTTATTATAAAAAAAAATCCATTTCATAGAATTTTTTTTTTACTTTTGCATTATTTAATCAGTTGATTTAGAAAATTTATTGAATTATGTCTTATATCAAACAACATTACATATACTCATGTGCACAAGGAATAGTTTGTGGGAAAAAAACTAAGTCTAAATTGATAAATTATTCTATCTTCCTTTAGAATTTCAAGATAGTTTCATGAATTTTTCATGCACACTTACTTGGTAGTGACACAATGATGCAGATGACACTTTATACTTCACAATGACTGCACATGATCAAAATATACAATCTAACATCAAATCTCCCATTGCGATAAAGAGTAAATAACTGTCTTTTCCATTGATAAAGCCTGTGGATCTTGAGGCTTCCAAATCATTGCCATATATCACTTTTAACTGAAAGCTTACAAGTAAAAATGATGAATATAAAATAATTAAGAACATGATTTCTCCCTGTTCATGAGAGTGTATCATCAATTTTAATCATTTTCATGCAAATGTATCTGTTATGTTTGCACAACTTTATCAACTGATTAAGAAAATACATTCATTTTTATCTTTTTCAATAATTTACTTGTGCACATGTGCACAAGAACATATGGGTCTCAAATACTAAGCCCTACTTGATTGATCTGTATCATATTTCAAAAGGATTTCAAAAAAGATTTTCATGCACACTTACATATGCTTCTGAAACTGAGATATAGATGACATAAAGTATTCAATAATGACTTCATATCATCAAAATATATCTTCCATTTTAAAATGTCACATTGCGATTAAAAGTAAGTAGCTTCCTTTTCCCTTGATAAAGCTTTTAAATCTTTGAAATTCAAAATTTCTCCCAAATCATATTTAAGCTGAATGCTTAGAAATGTTTTTAAAAAATGCACACCGGTATTTAAGATTCCTCCCTATTCATGAGAGTACATCATCACTCTCTGGTATTATTTCCCATAAATTAACAAATCAAAAATTCCCTTATTAGCTTTTATTATAAAAAAAAATCCATTTCATAGAATTTTTTTTACTTTTGCATTATTTAATCAATTGATTTAGAAAATTTATTGAATTATGTCCAATATCAAACAACATTACATATACTCATGTGCACAAGGAATAGTTTGTGGGAAAAAAACTAAGTCTAAATTGATAAATTATTCTATCTTCCTTTAGAATTTCAAGATAGTTTCATGAATTTTTTCATGCACACTTACTTGGTAGTGACACAATGATGCAGATGACACTTTATACTTCACAATGACTGCACATGATCAAAATATACAATCTAACATCAAATCTCCCATTGCGATAAAGAGTAAATAACTGTCTTTTCCATTGATAAAGCCTGTGGATCTTGAGGCTTCCAAATCATTGCCATATATCACTTTTAACTGAAAGCTTACAAGTAAAAATGATGAATATAAAATAATTAAGAACATGATTTCTCCCTGTTCATGAGAGTGTATCATCAATTTTAATCATTTTCATGCAAATGTATCTGTTATGTTTGCACAACTTTATCAACTGATTAAGAAAATACATTCATTTTTATCTTTTTCAATAATTTACTTGTGCACATGTGCACAAGAACATATGGGTCTCAAATACTAAGCCCTACTTGATTGATCTGTATCATATTTCAAAAGGATTTCAAAAAAGATTTTCATGCACACTTACATATGCTTCTGAAACTGAGATATAGATGACATAAAGTATTCAATAATGACTTCATATCATCAAAATATATCTTCCATTTTAAAATGTCACATTGCGATTAAAAGTAAGTAGCTTCCTTTTCCCTTGATAAAGCTTTTAAATCTTTGAAATTCAAAATTTCTCCCAAATCATATTTAAGCTGAATGCTTAGAAATGTTTTTAAAAAATGCACACCGGTATTTAAGATTCCTCCCTATTCATGAGAGTACATCATCACTCTCTGGTATTATTTCCCATAAATTAACATATCAAAAATTCCCTTATTGGCTTTTATTATAAAAAAAATCCATTTCATAGAATTT